GTCACTAGATATATTCAATCATATTGAATAGTACAAAATTTTTATATTTAAGCATTATTTTATTATTTCATTTCTTCCTTTATTCTTTAATAAATCATCCGTTTTTTTATAATTTTTGCATATGGATATCATTAGTAGATAGAAGGCACTTAGTGGGTACAATAGTACTTAGATTGTGACATTTGTCGTACAGTAATGTATTTCAAATCCAAAATATTGTTATGATGGGACTTGTATGGCACTACCACTTGAGCCAAATTTTATGACCTATATAATAACCAAACAATTTACAAGCACCACTTACTTTTGAACGAAAATAGATAATACAAAAAAAATTATACTAAAGCTCATTTTTGAAATATTTTTTTAAATAGGTAGAAGATACTTTCAGAATACTGTCATTCCTAAAGGTGCTTTATAGATTTTTTGAAGTTTGTATTTAGACTTAACGCAAAAAAGTTCGAATTATAAATACATATATTATTAAATAATAGGCTATGAGTGTATTCATAGTGACTTAAAAGATCTATTGTGCGCCTAAAAGCCCAACTAAAACAATTCTAGATTATTTATAAATCTCTAATGTTTACTTCTCCTCATGACAGAGTCGCCAGGAGTCACATTCTAATATAAATTTATAGTTTATAAAATTTCAAAAATAGATATCAAAGGGCTAATAGGTACATGTAATGTATTAAATAATACACATACAATTATTTCACTTGTAGCATTAAAGTATTAATACATGTCCAAATGGCTGATGTTTTATTGATTAATTAATTACAAAAATATAAATGTGAACCGATATGAAAAATTATATTGAAAAAGAGAACTTTTTGATATTTGTTAATAAAATAAATAACAAGCTGCTATTATAAATAAAATTATTAATATGCATAATTAAAATAAAAATTAAATGTTTACTCTGCAAATCCTCACATTGATATAAGCTGTTTAAAAGTAACTAAATAGTTTAAACAATCACAGTTAAATAATTGCAAATGCAAATAAAATATATAAGTAACTAGTTTTATTCATTAAATTGTCAAAATAGCTTAAATAAAAATTAAGTTTTCATTTTGCAACTGCTAACTTTGATATACATAAAGCATTTTAAAGCTATTAAATAATTCAAATAATCGCAGTTAATTGCATTGCAATTACAAATCAAGATACACAGAAACAATTATTTAGGTAATTACTATAGCAAGTAGTTTAGATAGAGTGGTCATTCCCCGAAAGTGGAAAGTTTTCTATTACTCGTCTTATCTAAAAATGGAACTTCACACATTTTAAAGTAATTAACTATAATTTATATTAGTAAATAACACTCTTCAAGTATTATTTGATTAATTAATTAAGTTTACTGTTTTATAAGAGAATAATTGACGACTGATTTGCGTGTATATAATTAATTCAACTACAGACTTTTAAATTAAAATGTTTGTGTTTTTTTTTCGCAAATATAATTAAATCCAACGAAACTTGTTTTTATTAATTTATAATCCCTTTAAAAGCCCATAAAAAATAAATGAGTTTAATATAAACAATACGTGAGAAACATGACGCAGCAAATACCATAAAATATTTTTTATATATTATCTGTATTATCAATCTCTTAAGCATAAAAAAATTGGTTCCCTCCGGTTTGCTGTAAAATGTCTAAATTCTTAAAGTTCGTAAATGAATGTGAGTAAATCTTTTTATAAATTCATTGACTAAGTTATTAAAATGGTTCGTAAAAACCATTGTTGTTTTTTTTTAAGCAAAAGTCTTTTTAACATAAAATATAAAAAATTATTTAAAAATTGTGGAAAAATTATTTTTAATTTAAAAAAATTTTTTTTGGGGAGCATAAGAATTAAAATAAATGAAATTAAGCGCTGTGTCATAATGATAAAAAATGTATTGAACCGGGCATGATACCTTCTGGTACTATTTGTAAATTCTTTAAAAAACGAAACTAAATAATGACTTTGCATAATTTAGTAATTTAAAAATTCTAATTAACTGGTAGATTCATATATAAAAAAAAAATGTGTTTAGAAATAATATATTATTTATTCTGAATACAACTAATACTATTTTCCTTTTAACATACATATTTATATTTCAATTCGATATATTTTAGCTATCTTTGTTTTATTTTAAAAATACAGACTTCAAATATTAGAAATTAAAATTCGAATTCATTGAACTTTGACATTACGTGTGGAATATGTAATTCCACTATTTATAAAGTAAACACGTAGAGTATCACAATTACAGGTCTTAAAGTATTTATTAATAATCCTATATTGCGGATTTAAACGTGATCATAATTATCTAAAATTTAGTAAACAAATGCGTAAAAACTATGTTATTAATACGTGGACCCATGGGAAAAATTTAAATGATATATAGCACCAGCCTTATCGATAACAATTTTAAATGAGTATACAGTGCTATAAGAGAATGAGAATGAGAATGAGAGAGTATATAGTTGATAGCACTCCGTAAACTAAATTTTGCATAATATGTATTGTGCATAAATGTTTACAAATGAACTTAGCTTTTAAATTATAAATATATTACCAACACTTGTGTACAGACTGTTATTATTATTATTGTTAAGTAGAGGATACTATACACCGCGTCTTAGGTGGTCTACTGTGTTATCTATATGGACTAAATATTAAACTAGTATATCAAAAAACAACCCTTCTATTTATAAGAACCTTTTAAGATTTCATCGTTTAAATAATGATTATTATTTCATAAGAACAAGGAATTGAAATAATAAAAAGCAAATAGGTTTTTCGAAAAGTAGTGAACTACAACAAAAAAAATTTATTTTTATATTATTTTAATTAATAGTTTTTGGCTGGCCATACAGCTGTTTCGAGTATTGCCAAATACTCATCATCCGTGGTCTTGGAAATAATTCTTGTATTTAACTATTCGTAATTAATTTTTTGAGCCTGCAACTATTAGAAATTGAACTCATTCCCTGCCAAATTTAAAGCTCAGAGTCAGCGCTCTTTAACCAACCCAAAGCCCTACTTGACTTTTATATTGCACATTTTTCTGAAGTTTAGTTTATTTGCTATTAAAGTTTTTTTTCTATTCATAAAAAATAATTGAGTTGAATAGAACAACTGAATAATTGAAACATTTTTATTTTAATTGTTAAATTTCAATATTATTCTGTTTATAGAGGCATTATTTTTTGCATGATTTTTATATATATTTTTTCTTATGTATATAATCTAATCTAGGAACGTAATACAACACGTTATTTGTTGTGAAGATCTTTTATTAGTATATATACAAATATTTATCATGGGATAAATATTGTATTACCAAAGTGTAATTCAAAATAAATCAATATATCTGCAAGCAATGATATCACCTTCAAATCGGAGCTGAAGAGTAAATCCAAATTTCAAATTTTTATATAACGAATTAGCACCAAAAAAAAAACATATAGTCAGGTATCGGCTATGTTTGCACATTCCTCTCCAGCTGTTATGTTAAAACTTTAATGAATAAAAATCAAAAGTTCAAAAACAGTTTTTATTTATAAAAGTTTGTTTTTTTATATTAATTCGTTAACTATACTTTGTTGAATAAATAAAATAATTTAAACCATGACAAAAAAACTAATTTTTCATGCAAATACATTATAAATGTTCACTCGAAACTTTTACATATATAGTTTATAAATCGTGAACCGAAAAAATGGGTATATATATTTGCTAAAGCTAAATAAAACTAAAATTCAAGTTAAATTTCTTTAACTGAACTGGAATTAAAATAGAAAAGATAAAATTTTCGTTGGAAAAACTGGTTCCAACAAACCAGGATCATGCATCAGTTATTTTTTAGCTAAAGCGTAAATTGTAGAAACAAGTATTAGTATTTAAAAGTCTCTACATTGAAAATAATGCTAGTAACTTAACTATATTTAATTCTCAAGTCCAGAATTTTAGTTTTTAAAATTAGTTATCAAGTTGAAATATACGTTAGTTATCAAACTTCACAGTTGAGAACTTACTCTAGTTATTCTCATGTACTTAACTTGAAAACTAAAGTAGTAAATAGTCACTCGCCCTAACATTAGTTCTCAACTGGTATACAAGTCTTTGAGTTTTTTGGATGTAATATATGGACGAATTCACACCAAAATAGTAAACATATGATACCCAGATCGTCATTTAACTTAATTTAAAACTTTAATTCAAATAATAAATAAGGTGAGAATTAATTTTTTCTGTTATAGAAAAGTTATAGTTATAACAATAGTTATATTGTTATAGTCACGGTTGCCACTTGAAAATTTTTTTCTGTACCAAAATTGGTTTAAAAAGTACCATTTCTGTAAAAAAAGGTCCAAAATTTTTTTGGACCTTTTTGTTTTCTCGTTCTGTGTTTTTCATAGTGTTATAAATGAACAAAATATAAAATAGTGCAAAGTTGCATTTATAAAAAAACTTAATTGGAAATATCCACAATAAAGTTGGGTCGTATGTACCATTTTTTGAACGTGAGTACCAAACGAAAAAAAAAAAAAAGGACCAATTTTGGTACTAAAGTACCATAAGTGGCATCCGTGGTTATAGTCCTTGTTCTTGATTCTTCCTGTTATATATCAAAACATTAGTCATTGCAAAACGAGAGGAACTATTATTTCTTTTACGATAATCATGAAAATTAAATACCACACACCAATAAATTTCTAAATTGAAGTTGTCTTTATCATATTTATAGTTCTAACTTCTATTTATTATATTTTGATAATTATAATATAATTAAAAATTATTTAATTGCTTCATTTACTGTAATATTTTTAAAGAAAAATGCTTATGCTTTCTATTTAATATAAAACGAATATATTGTGTTGTAAATATACAACAAATATTTCCTCTAAACATTAATCAAAATGTATTTTTTTTCCTTTCTAACAGTTTTTCTTTATATGTCCTTACAAATAAAATCTAAATTTGAATGTATTATTTATGTCCCAATCTTGCGATCGGGCACTACAAAAAATTTTCATAGACTCATTAAGTTGCTCCACTCCACGGAAATCTTTAGTAAAAGGCGAAAGATTTATTCGACAACTGAAGTGAAGCCAGAGTAACGATTACAGCAAATTATTGGGCAAGTCTATGAAACAATCATTGTAGTGATTGAGAATTATAAAGCAAATTCTGTTATAATTTTGAAATATATATATTATATATATGGTTGCCATGTACACATGATTTGTTAATATTATATTGGATATTATTTTATCAGTATTATTAGTAAGAGTACATATTAGGATAAATTTGTAATTGATAAAAAAAACCACACGTTTTAAATAAGTGTTAATAAAAACAAATTGTTAGATATATTACAAATTATTATGCTCTTATAATATCACAAACGATGGTAACTCTATAATGAGCATTTTTTGTTTGTGGTGTAACTTTATAACTTATGCTGACTGGGGTAGATTGTGTTAAAAATTGGTGGTTGCAAAAATATTTATAATGTAGGAGCTGTAGAAATGTATATTTTCCAATACTTTATTAATTTCATAAATTTAATAAATTTGCGATATTGTATATATTGTTAAAATTTTAAATTGTTTAAAGTAAATATAGGTAATGCGGATAATAGTCAATAATATATGATGTTAGATTTAGACAGTTTGGATATTCCACAATCTTTTGTGAATTGCTATAATTTTATATGTGCATATAATACATTTTTTAAAAAAAACTATTAGTATGTTTTCAAACTACATACATATGTATGTGTATTTATTATATACAGTCAAACTTCCACAACTTGAACTTCTATAACTCGAACCAAAAACACCAAGTCTCCATAGGTCGAACCTTTTCTTTGCAAATTTGGACTTCGAGTTATGGAAGTTTGACTGTATAAATATAGCAGTGCGCATCAACCTTAATATGTTAAAAAAATGCTGTCCATTTATTGTACTTAGTTATAAATATACATAAACATTGTTTGACAGTATTAACATTTTTCTTGATATCTACAATTATTAAATAGCTTTTTTATGCTCTGAAGTTCTTATAATAGTGCCGCATAAATTTTAAAAATTTATTTGGCTTAAGAGCACATCTCACCTTCGTGACTGTCCAAATAAATCAGTTTGCATATCTGAATTTCTCATCAGTAAGTCTGCATTTATATATATATGTATATACATATATCATTGTTAAAATAAACTCAACTTAAAAATAAGACGCCTGACTTCAATAAAAAAAAAAAGTATATATAAATAAAAAATTTCATCCTTATAAGTATTTGTCTTATAGTAGGATTACTAACTATTTGTAAATAAAAACTCCGAAAATCTCATAAATTTCAAAAACTATCCATGTCATATGCAAGAAATCAAGATCTGAGTAAAACGTGTGACTGAATCTTCCAATACAGTTTATGGACAAAGTGCGAATGATGGTTCAATCAGAGCAAAATACTTATCAAGACTGATCACTGCTTGATTTTTTTTGTGAGATTATTTATTATTGTGCGGAAAATCCTTATAAATAAAAGTCTCGATGATTCAATGAATATTAATCGAGTTATATTGCCAACTAAGTGGCACCAAGTCATCGAAAATTAATTTAAAAGGATTTAATATCATAAGCTGTCTTTTACAGCGGCAATTCAATGATATTTTTGAATGATGTATTTCAGATCGATTGTGGAAATTTAAACAATTCATTAACACAAAAATTTGAAGAAAATCTCAATCATAAGTATAATTTATAATTGTTTACTTTCTAAAGAGATGTTTAGAACAGTAGTGAACTACAACAACAAAAAATCATTTTTATATTATTTTAATTAATTGAATTTTTGGCTGACCATTGTTCACTTTCGGATTCACAAAATAGATAACCCTGCATATGTATAATATAGTGAAACTATAGCAAATTAATTTAATGAATTTTTAAATAATATTTATTAAAATTATTTAATTAATATTTATTAATTAATTTTCTATTATTTTATACCAAACTAAAAACACATTCTATATGATTTTTTATCTAAATATGCTAAATATGCTCATATTATTTATTCTTAAACACACTTAATAAAGTGTGATAAAATACAAAATATACAATATTATATAGTTTTTTTTTATAACGTCTTCGGGTTTCATTGAGATTAAAATATGTGTGCAGAAGTCATGTTCAAGATCAACCTAAAATACGCGATTCAACAGAAACTAATTTTCATGCAAAATAAATGCATGTAGCCACCGCAGTGACTATTTCTATGCATTAAACCCAGATACTCGCAAAATGCTACGTTTGCTGAAATTTTAGTTGCTGTTTGTTAGTTGTTTGTTGTTGTTTTTGTGTTCGACGAATGCACGTGACTAAGCGACAATATTAACTGCGAAGAGTGCCAAAACAGCAGCACAATTCAAGTTCATTGAACGCGCACCAAATCCACACCGCAGTTCGCAGATACATTTAAGAGATATTTTTGTTTATTTTGTTTATTTAATGTGCAGTACCTGGTCGAACGGGCACCCACAATTACCTTTTGAAAGAATTGTACGAATGTACATGAATAGGAAAAGTGCAAGCTTTTCTTTTTTACATAACCGAGCAGTGAAAAGCAATTTCCATTTGTCAGACATGCGGTTTTTTATCTTTTTATGCAATACTTGTCATCTGCCTCGGCTGCCTTGGCTGCATTGGCTTTGTGTGTCAGTAAGCATTTGTTTACATATTTGCCATTGGGTTTACGCTGCTGTATCTGTAGAATTGTGTTCAAATGCCATTATTCAATGATTATTCATAATTAATTAAACTGTGAAATATTCCAGTGACGGCACAATTTCTTACACACTCAAGCCGTAATTACTTTACTTATTTACATGCATGCATGTTTAAATGCATAAATTATGAAAAGTATCGGAGCGAACCAAATAAAAAAAAAAACTGCAAATATGAGTTGCTTTCCGTTCGCAAATATTTAAATTAAACTGAATTTATTGACTGGCTTATGCTGATATAAATTGCCCACCCAGTCTCTTACCTATAGTATCTTGAACTGAGTGTACAGATATATGGCAAATGGTTATAGAATACTAATTAGTTAAAATACATATCAATTATTCACAGTTTGTTTTCGCTTTTAAACAACAACAACAACAACAACAACAATGTAATAAAAATGTTATTTATTAATAGTAATTCTGCAATACTCGTAATTTCATTTACGTGTCGACACGTTGATTGTACTTCATATGTTTTTATTTTTGGGTTCTATCGAATTTTTTTATCAGTTTATTCCTTTAAACAAATTATTTTTATGACGGTTTTGTTTTTAAGAAAAAGCAAAACAACAATATCTATTTTAAAATTTATTAGAAACTTCTTACACTGTAACTACATTAATTGTTAAAAATTAGTTTAGAATAATAAGCTTCGATTACTATATCCAAAGAACGGCTTTAAGTAACACACATCACTGTATCGCACTGTTCAGGCAGAAACAGTTTTAGTAATAGCAGGTGTAACTCCAATTGAACTTCAAGCAAAGCAACGTCGAAGAGTATACAATAAGAAAATCACCGACTACTATACTCAACAAATGACAAGAGAAAGAAGATCAGGAGCAAATCATCGTAATGTGGCAAAAAAAGATGGAATAATATCACTCAAGGAAGATGGACAGCTAGACTGATACCAAATATGATAACCTCCCTTAAACGGAAATCAAGAGACACAAATTACTCACTCAGATGCTGAACGAACATAAATATATTTATACCTATACCGCATTGGACAGGCGTATCTATCCGATTACATTTATGGTGACGGAGACTGTGACGACACAATGCACACCTTATTTTACTGTAATAAATGGCTCACATTTAGAGAGGAGATAATAGCCCAGATTGGACCAATAACTCCTGAAAATATAGTAGAAACGATGAGAGCGAACCCAAAGAACTGGCGAACGATGGAATCATATGTGATTCAATTCCTCGAATTCCTCGAAGAAATTTGACCTAAAGAGGAGAATCAGAAACTAAGCTAATAAATAGTGCAGACACCAAGAGAATGTGGTAAAAAAGTGGAGGTCTGCACGCAGATCAAAAATCATAAGAGCATGACATAAAAAGTCAACATAAAAGAGACCCTACACAAAGTAATGCAAAAGCGGTCCCGAGGGGAAATAAGTTTCGCTGAAGAAGTGGTATTTTCGTCTGTACACTACATATTGATGTTAGGTAGTCGGGCAGATCATTCCGACGACGGTCGGTCTAACGGATCAGAAAACAATTCACTTCCTTACCACAAAAAATAAAATAAATTAATATATAGTCAAGGCTTATACTCTGTTTACGTAAAATAATATTAACTATTAACTATTTTAGTAAGATCTTGACTTAAAGACTCCACCTGGCTAATTAATTCGTGAAATGTCTTGGTTTTACCAGGCCTAGGTATTTTCACTATTTTTGTACAAATAATTTTTCTAAAATAGAATCCTTATATTGTATCCACAAACTCAGAAATTTCAAATGGAACATCTTTAATGAGAAGAATATTATTAAGAAGAATCTTATAGACATTTGTTTTTACTTTATAAATATAATAATATACATCATAAATAATTAATGGCATGGCGGGTTTTAATTACCATCAAGGGTTTTTTACAAATTATTTTTTAGCACGTATTATTTACGATGAAATTGAAAAGAAAAAAATCTTTAAATTTTTTTTAAAATAATCTTTAATTTATTTTAATATATATTAAAATATTTTACAATTATTTTCACATTGCAGTTAAATCTGGTATCAACCGCTTAATTTTGGAAGGAGTCAGTGGAAGTTTTCGAAATGGAGAACTGTCTGCTATTATGGGTCCATCCGGAGCAGGTAAAAGCAGTCTGTTAAACGCGCTATCAGGATATAGGTACTTACGGCTATATGCAATATATTATTAAACTAATAATTTATGTATTAGGTAGTAAAGGTGACTAATAAAATTTAATAAAATTTAAATTATTTACATATATTCATCGCTAAGTATGTATTAGTCAATACAAATAATTATAATTGCAGTATATCATATTCCATTTTATTATACCATATAAGAATTAATATTCGTATAAGTAATTGCTTCTATCATTATGATTGAACTAATTCTCAGAACTTGAAACCGCAAACAATTTTATTATGGGAAGGAATTAATCAATAAATCATTGGAATTCAATACTTTCTAAAAATGTCTGATTCAATTTATGCAAAAATTTTAATATTAATTAAAAAATTAAATATGTTGGTAGTGGATTATTGAAGCTTATATCTTATTTACAGCTTTATTTAATAAAAACTGTATATTTCGTATGCGTTTATATGAAATTTATATCAACGCTAACAAACTGATATAAATAATATGTTACATATATAAAACATATTGGAATCAAGTTTTATTATTGTTAAAGATTTAATACAAAGTTAGTTTATTATCAAAAATAGTAGATTTTTCAAAAGTGTCAGTAGATGTATTTAACTGTATTTTGATACAGAATTAATATCTTGCTTGCATTTTTGATCGGTGTTTATATCTTTCTTAGACTTGGAGTTAAGGCAAATTTTTGGCAAAATTCACCGACTTATTTTTTTCATAAATATAGAAGAAAGGTAATGCGTTCGATACAATAAAAAAATGGAGTGTACCTTCCGTCATCAATATATCTGAATGTCTGAATTTTCAATTCAAGTTGATTTGATATGAATAACTTATCAGTAATAACAATGCAATCTTTAAAATAATTTCTGTTAGTTGACTCTATACGGCCGGATATTGCACCATATTTAGCTGGCTTTGACGATACGCATTACCGGATTAGACAGCTTCTTATCAGCTGTTGATCTCAAAAAGGATTACAAAGCTTGAGCAATGTGCCAATCCATTCATACCATAACTAACGTTTATTTTTCATGTCAACATTATCAGAAAAGTCACCGGGTATATTAATGTGTAAATTATTCCAAGCTGTATTACAAACACTCACGTTTCCTACTGCTCGAGTCAAATTCGACCTTAAGAGTAAAAAAACTAGCGAAATCTCAAAGATAATTTTTTAGAATCTTTAAATATATATTTATTTTTAAAATATCATTAAAGTATTAATTATCTATTTTATTTTACATTATTATGAAATAATTAATTTTAAATAGTTTTATTTAAAATATATTAAAAATTCAACAAAATTAAGTACACTTGAATAGGGACAAGAATTTGTATGAATTTCTTCTATTTTTCCCTTAATCTACTGTTGCTATAGTCTTATGGTATGTTGTTTTCTGACGAATAGAGTGTAGGCAAAGTTTGGAGATACGAGAGATATTTTGATAGTCTACCATAATAATTTATTTTTGAATCATATATTTTAATCATATAAACGTTGTAAAGCACTTACTGCTACAGAAAAAGGAAAAATTTTTTAAAATAAGCTATTAATTTGAAAAAGTTTTTTTTTTAATTGATACAAAACGAAATACAATACAAATAAAATATGAACAACAAAAAAATTTTTGTTCTATTGGCTTACTTTGTTTGCCTGAGTAAAATATTTTTGTATTCGTAATGCAATACGAGTATTTGTCCTTATTCAAGTGCATGACAGTGTATTTTTAATATCTTACGTTGTATGGTATAATTAATTCAAATAGATTGTTGATATATGGGTATTAATAGCATGTCATTTTTATATCACTATTATATAATTTAAATCAATAGTTATATACAATATATATAATTCAAAATCTAAATTTAAATTTAGAAAAATTTTATAAGAGTGTTTAAACTTATAAATCATTGCGGTATTTATTATATAGAACTTCTGGAGTTGGTGGGCACATAAAAATAAATAGAGCTGATTCTTGTTATATTACACAAGAAGATCACCATCAGCTACTTTTAACAGTTGAAGAACTCATGAATCTCTCTTGCGACCTTAAATTAGAAGATGGAAAAAGAAAGGAAGAAACTATCACAGAAACACTAGAAAATCTCAATTTGAATCATCGTCGAAATGTCACTGCCGACAAACTTAGTGGGGGTGAACGTAAACGTCTGTCCATAGCTTTAGAATTAGTGGCTAATCCTAACATATTTTTCCTTGATGAACCAACAAGTGGTTTGGATGACGTCACTGCGGCTCAGTGCATACGTCTTCTTAGCAAAATGGCGAAGCAAGGACGTACCATTGTTTGCACTATACATCAGCCTTCAGCTACAATATTCAATTATTTTGACAAAATTTTTGTACTTGCCAAAGGACAATGCGTATATCAAGGCAGACCTGATGCTGTTATACCATTCTTGCGCCATATTGATCTTGAGTGCCCCAAGTACTACAGTCCTTCCGATTATAGTAAGTTTTTTTTTAAATATTAACTACAAACAAATTAATTATTTATTGATTTATAGTAATTGAACTATGTGACACAGAAGATACCAAAGTAATAACTCAACTTAGTAATTTAACTGACAACGGTAAACTCATCTATGTTCCAGCTCAAATCAGTGAAAGCACAATAGAAACTAATGGGTCTATATCTGATAATTTAATTAAAAGCGTTTCTTATAATTCCATAAAACATTCCAATCATTTCCATCAAGCAATCACAACATTTTTTATCGACGAACCGAAAGTTAGTGGTTTCCACAACTTCATAAACAATAGTGTCACCTCGCCTGATGGCACACTAGTCGGTGGAGTTACAGCACTTTATGAACAAATGAAAGCGTTCTCGAAACGCATACAACAGACCGAAAGACAGGAAATTTCCAGCTTTAAGCAATTTTCAGTACTTTTAAGAGTTATGGTACTGAAGATATTGCGCGCCCGCATTCCACTTATTATACAACTATCCCACCATGTGATAGTTGGTTTATTTTTTGGTAAAAATATGAAATTTCAAAATAATTTATTAATTTCTAATTAAAATTTTTTTTTAAGGTTTAATATTTTATAAATTAGGTAATAAAGGCGACCGTATGTTTGATCATCTTAAGTTTTGTATAGCAATTATACTGATGATTGCCTATACTCAAGTTATGGTTCCAATACTGAGCTGTAAGTTTACTATCAAGCAATTATTCATTTAAATCTTTTAAAATTCTCACAAAATATTTGTGTATTGAATTTAATTTATAAATTTTATGTTTTTATTTGTAGTCCCAAGTGAAGTGAAAATAGTGAAAAAGGAAACATTTAATCGTTGGTACACGCTTATGCCATATTATATAGCATTGACTATTTCCAGAATACCATTTCAGGTAATTTATTATAAAATTTTTCAATTTTATGATATTTTATATATTATATGATCTTCTTCTAATTTTCCTCAGGTGATCTTCAATGTTGCATTTTTATCAATAACTTATTGGATGTCAGGTCTTCCAGACGAATGGTGGCGGTTTTGTCTTTTTGTTGCAATTGGGTTGATGATTTCATTTGTTGCGGAAGGCATGGGACTAGCAATTGGTGCAACTTTTAGTATAACAGTTAGTATTTATATGAGTTTGCAACTTAAACCATTTCGATTATATTTGTTTATTAATTTTAGAACGGAAGTGCTGTGGGACCTTTGGTTATTGCACCTTTCATGGGACTAGCAGTATATGGATTTGATTTTGCTGCAAAAATACCTTATGCCATGAACTTACTTATGAAACTTAGCTATATTCGCGTGGGTGTAGTTAGCTTAGTATTAACAGTTTTTGGTTTTAACCGAGATGAACTCGAATGTGATGAAATATATTGTCACTTCAGTGATCCCAAAGTTTTGATCAAATTTCTGGATATCGAAAGAGTATCAATGGCTCAACAATTTGCTTTATTATCATTGCTAATGATTTTTTTTAGAACTTTGCTGTACTTAAGTTTACGCAAACGTTGTGGCACATAAATTATTTTAATTATTATTTTAATCCAGTTTTGTACTATATCATTAACACTATATATAAATTATTATATAGATTTTGAGTTAATTTTATGTAATTTTAATGGTCTTTAAAATGCTGTGATAAGCAATAATATTATATTTTTACATGAATTTGTATTAAAAAACATTAAGCTAAAAAGTTTTATAATAGTTTTTTCTATACAATATATTAGAATATGCGGTGTAATAAAATATTGTTTTTGTAATTATTATTAAGTACTACAATAAGTAATTTACCCTAATTTATATATTACTTAAAAATATATTCATAAAAAATTACAAAATCAAGTTAAGAAGTTTGTCCAAAATAGGTTACAATACTATACATGATATGTACAAGTTCTTTGCCAAATAAGAAGTTATATACTTGTTTTTATAAATAAATGAGATTTTACACGGATATTTAAAGTTTTAGTAAAAAAATAATATGAATTTAGCTTATTATTTAACAATTTCTCAGCCAATTATGCTTCATGATTATAAATGCTTTATAACAGGAGGTAAGTTTAAAAGATAGTTTAAATATAGAATTCTAGTAAGTAATGTTCAACTAGAAGACTGAAGATTAAAACTAATAGTTCATGTTAAAAAGTATATGTATGTATATATTAATCTATAATAATACGGACGAGCTAGCTACTTCTGCTTCTTTCTTATTTTTTACCGTATATGTGTTTTGTTTCTTTTTAACTGTTAGGGGTTTGCCTAAATATATTTAAAAGAACCCTATAAATTATTTTCGTTGTTTTTAGGATTTTTTTAAATAAGTTTAAAACCCTATATATTAGATAAAAAGTTGATTCCTGTTGTGTACTATTGGAACAATTTTTTTCAATCTTTAAACCTAATGTTTATATGTTTATCACAAGTACAATATGTATATGTTCTGAACTAGGAACCTATCGATTTTGGGAATACAGATTTTTTATATCATATATAAATTTTCCTTTAATTTAGACAGAACTTTACTTAAATAGCGTAATCAGTTGTTTTAAAATTGCTTAAATAACTAGAAATTACAGCCAAAGACTTTCATAAATTTCTTTTATCTGTTTTTATTTGACTACATATCTACTTTTCTATATATATATTTTTAAATAACTTATTATTTGCTATTTGTATAAAGCAAATATTTTTAATTTATAATAGACTAAAACCAGACTTATAGCTAAGAGAGAACTGATTGCTTACGAGATACCAGCCTATAAGTAGCAAAAGAGCAATATTTTTCCAACACTATAAATTGATTTATTTACCGATAAAGTAGTGATAAAACATGATAAACTGAATAGAATCTTAAGCATACAATATTTTTGATAAAATAAAAGGAATATCTCTAGAGTCCAAACTAATGCAATTATTACTAGCTAGTGGCTTATTATTCTGGGTAGCTGGCGACAATTAATATTAAGGCGGAATCCCTCATAATTTTCTTTGTCACAGTTCCACCTAGGCAAAATAAAATAAAACTTTTTTCATTTTCTCTTACATGCCTTGCCCTTTGGAGCACAGAACAGCCATATTAATCAAACTGTCTATATAAACAATCAATATAACACCGTGTAGCAAGGATGTGGTAATGAAACGTTGCAAAAACACAAAGTCGACTTACAGACTATGGCCACTTAAATCAACATACCCACCAGTGGTAACTCCTATTAAGTGCATATTTCTTCTCTGTAATAAATTAGTTACCCGTATATATTATATCTAGATAATCATTTATTATGCTATTTATTAAATAGCAATTTTTGTCGGTAAAGCACCTATGAAAGTGTATTGATTATACTAGAATTGACAGCTAAAATATTGTCACTTAATTATATAAATATATATGCTAGCACTTTTGCAAACATTTTATTAAATATATAAAAAGTCATTTATAAAATATTTAAATTTGTATAAACTGATATTTTATACATTTTTAGTATATGTACAAAAATTTAACATAGGTAACAAAATTTTCTGGTACTACTCAATTAGACGGGTATACCGATTATAAGCATATATCAAAAAAACGTAATAATAATGTTTTTGGTAAACCAAAAAGAAAAACAAATAATTTACTTTTTAGTACTATTTACTTTCTCTTTACGTTTTTTTACGTGTTTTTTTACTTTTACTTTTCGTTTTTCTGCGTTAGCTTCTTTAACAGCCTTTTTACGCGCTTTTTTGCTTTCCGGAGACTCATCCCGAGGCCTGGCAGAACTCTTAAATGTAGCGTCCTCACTGTCTTCAGTTGAATCGTTATCATCTTCATTCTCATCATTTTGACTTATTTTCCTTATATTTTCTCTTCCTGTTGTATTTGATTTCTTTTTTTCATTGCCTTGGCTTACATTATTAGCACTTTGAGCATCATGGTCAGTTAATATATTAGGCTTTTCTTGCACGTTTAGAGATTCGTCTAAGCCAGTAATCTTACCGTATATTAAATTTTGCTTTTCGCCTTTTTTTGCTTTATCAACGTCTCGTTCAAAGTGTTGCACCTAAATTTAAATGTGAATTTAAATAATAATATACATAAAACTATATATTTTAACTAACCTCATCTAGTCTTTTTGGTATGTAAGTATTTTGCCAAACAGCTTCATCAATTTTTTCTTGTGCCGTAATTGCGTCAAAATCACGATCATTTATCCGTTCTGAAATAACTTCAAGACATATTTCCATATTATCTTCGGTTATTGTCTGATCTGTTATAAAATCAAAAAGCTCTTTGACAGTCATAGTCGCAACACCTTTTTTTCGAAAGAACTCTGATATATTGGTACAATCTTTTCGTAAGAAATCAAATGCATGTGGATGATCATGTTCTACCGATTGACTGACATCAATAATTACCAATTGCCCATTCTGTATTAATATATTAAACTCCGACAAATCAGCGTGAACCAAACGGCATTTGTTGTAGATACGCCACATTATAATAACACAATCTCGATAGAGTTCTCTCGCCTTCGATGATGTTATCTCTACATCTTTAAGCTTCGGAGCAGGCCAACCTTGTTGTCCGCAAAATCGCATAACTAGTACATGCTGACGTAATATGATTGGTTCTGGTACAGGAACACCTGCATTGTGCATGCGTAGATAATTGCGCATTTCCTTTTCAGCCCAAGTTCGCACCATTTTCCGTGGGTTATGACGACAATAGCCATGTCTAAAACGGAATTCACCTGAGACATACTTATCACGATCTTTGAAAACTAAAATTGAGGTTTTGTATATTTTGATTGCAAACTCTTCTGCATCGTTCTTCGAGATGGCGTGATACACATTTGCTTCCTTGCCGGTAGATATACAACCATTTATTTCTTTAATAAGCCCACGATTTAATAACTTAAATAATATTAATCTTGTGCGTGGATCCATTACTTGTTCGGCAGTAGCACGATCATTTTTATCACGTACTCGAAACCGCTCTGAATCCTGTTTGCGATCAAATCCAACAATCCGATTTGCAGCTTGTGCACTCATATTTGTTGTTGGATCATACTTTTCAACATTAATGCGTGCAGAATATCGACGCAACAAGTTGTCGTTAGGCTGATAACTATTTAGTCGTTTTGTACAAGAAACATTAGCACTACCTGTATAGGATTCTTCGTAGTCATATGCATCATCTAGTTCTTCATTCTCAGCATAATCTTCATCATCATCATATTCTTCATCATTTTCATCTCCAGTTGTTGAGATCAGTTTTTGTTTTAAATCATCCTTATCATCATCTATATGATTATCAAGTCCCGTAAACATTACATGTTTAATTGTTACTTTTTCAATCTTTTGTGCTAAGTAGTCCTAAAATGAAATTAATATTATTAATATATAATACATAATATATTACATATAATAATTATTTATACGTGCGTGCGTATAAATATATTTTAAAAAAATAAATATTTTAAAATACATCGTTTATTATAAGCACGCAACTTACTACAAATGGAATTGCAGTGTCTTCTTCTGCGTCACTAAATTGATGATCAGCCATCGTGGTCAGTGAATTTCAGTTTTCCACTTTTTTTGGCAATAACCAACTCTTTTATATGTTTTAATTTCATAAAACAAGAAACCACCGCACGTGGAGTACTTAATAATTTTGCACCAAAATGTGATATTTTGTTGTGAAATAATGAGACAGGGTGCTATGATTTGTGTTTATTGGGTTATCACAATTCGCAAAAAAATCTAAGTAATTTTGACTACAATTATAAGATACTATTTTAATTTATATTTAAGAATTTTATATATTATATCTTGTATAAATACATTATTTTAAGGCTCTTGACGAGAATTTATTAGTGAATTAATAGAACAATTTCATTCAGGCACCCGTTTTTATTATTCTTAAATGTTCCTTCTGTTTACGAATGTAAGAAAAGAAACAAGAGATAATTTACAATAAGTTGGCAGCACTTTGCATTTTTGACAGTTCATAGTGTGTCTTGCTTCCTTATTTGTAAACAGAACTTACATGCCGATAATAAAATAAATAACATGTTATTTAAATAATTACTTTTATTAGATATAAAGTGAAATAAAATAAAATGTTCGTATTAGCTGAATTAAAAGACACAATACGTATTGAACCAAGTCAATTTCATATAGATTTCCTGGAGGCTTTGCGAGATGAAATTAATCGGAAACTTGCTAATAAGGTTGCTGTTTTTAATTTACTTAATAGAATTAATTTATTTTGATTGAATAATTTTCAGGTTTTATTAAATGTTGGTCTATGCATAGCATTAAAAGATATTGTATCAATTGAAAAGTCATTGATTCTACCCGGTGATGGTGCGTCTCACACAGAAGTCGTATTCCGATACATTGTGTTTCGACCACAAGTAGGCAGTGTAATTACTGGTAAAATACGCAGCTGCAGTCATGAGGGTGTTCATGTTACACTAGGCTTTTTTGACGATATATTAATACCTCCAGCAGCTTTACAACATCCTTCACGTTTTGAAGAGACAGAACAAGCTTGGGTGTGGGAATATCCTTTAGAAAATAATGAAAAGCATGATTTGTTCATGGATATAGGAGAATCGATCAAATTTAGGGTAGCAAGTGAATGTTTTGAGGAAAGCTCTCCTATAGGACCACCAAAAACTGACCAACAAGTAACTAGTTCCACATTAGCTCAAAAAGAGATAAAAACTCCATATAGAATTGTGGTAAGTAATCCTCAAAGTTGGGTATTAAGACTATTATTATAACTATTTACATACTATAAGTGTAAAATATAATGTTGTATATAAAATTGTTTAAAAGTTTACAGAAACTAACATTATCATGAGCTCTGCAAATTATGTAAAATTAATATTGCGATATAACCTATTTTCATATTTGCTTACAATTTTTTTTACAGAACAACAAGTATAAACCATTTCTGTATATATTTTTGGAGTTGTGATTGTAAATTATTCAATATTAGTTCTTCACTTTACGGAATGTTTTTAGTCGAAAAACTACGTAACGACTAAATTAATACAGCGTTAAAAATTAATATATAAAAGTATTTGATTTTTAACTCGGTACTAATTGAAATTCTTTGATTTTATTTTTTCCAACCATTAACAAAACTTACATGGTTTGGGTAGAAATATTGTATAGTTTTAAATTTATTTATTTTTGTACATCAATATATGTAGCAGTTATGACCACTCAATTGATTCTAAAGTATTTATATTGGCTATCTAAATTGATTTAAGTTGTGCTTAAGTATTTTAGGTAAAAATATAGAATATATAGATACCTTTAGATTTACTCATCAATTTACCAAAAAAGAAAAAACCATTCTGGAAATATATTTGTATAGTCTATCTAGTTTTACTATGTTTTATAGAGATACATTTATTATATACATTGTAATTATGTATATTATATATTAAATTATATTACAATTATTAGTAATTTGTTCTCGTATTGAATTGCAAATTTATAACATGTTTAATAAATGTATCACAAAAAATATACAAACCAGTTTCTGCGCCCAATAATGATAAACGCTTTTCTAAAACCCATTGCAATAACTTTGATAAATGGTACAATTACAGATTAATAAACAAATTACTAACTTAAAAAATTTAAATATTATTTTGCACGATATCCAGTTAAAATTACAAAAGTTTAAAGTATATAAATGTACTTAAATTTGGAGAGACATTCTGTAAAGATCAAGTTAAATGCTGTGTATGATATCCGAATAGTAATAAGATTAGCAATTTTATATTATTTTTTATGATTTCTAAAAAATTTAATATCTACTAGCAAGAATAAAGAACAGTTTACCTAGCATTCACAATGGCTCCGAAATGTATGTTATTTATCATTTAATTTTCCATAATAAGTAATGTCAATAAACAATAATGGTTGTTTACTAAATCCGTTAAAAATTATAGAACCCCATAAGAAAGTAGTCATCCGAATAATCATCTAAATATAAAAATAATAACACTGTAGCACGAACTAACGTTCTATATACAATAAAAGTCATGTAATCTTAGTCAGCTTACGATCTACTAACTGCCATTTCGATAGCGTTGTTCTTATTTGGCACATCGTGTATCATATGATGACTTTGGTCATGGTTAGTCATTATCACAATATATGTGTTTAAGTTATTTAGGTATATATAAAGTATCTGTGTGGCGATTTCATCCGTTGGCAATTATGCGTGTACGAGTATTTTGTTTTCGAAAAAATAAATTTATTATTGAAAGTAAGTGTTTTGTGAAGTTAAAAGCTTTATTAAAAGCTAGTATGAACATGCTGAAGGACATCTAGATCGACGAAATTAAATACTCGTTAAAGATGCTTTCAAACTGTGCTGTATGAATTAGAAAGGAATTTATTATACATGTCAATTTTGCTAAAAGAAACTTTATGTTCTTATTCATCCTATTATGAAATCAATAATATTATATTATCTATGAAAAAATTATTTAAATGTATATATGCATGTACACGTTATAGCAAGTCAATTATAATAAAAGCATTTTTTTTCAGGCTGCAATAAATGAATCAGGCCTAGGTGTGCTGTCTTGGTGGGATCAACAGAACCAGGATATGGATGAAGGCGATGAAAATAATGAAGAAGACAATGTTGAATATGAAAATGATGAAAATGGTGAAGGTGCATATGAAGAATAGATTAAATAAAAAAATATATTTATAAATAGTAAAAACTCATATTTTGTTTTTAATTAATAATATTTTAAGAATTTATTTAAAATTATTTTGCAGCTCTTTATTTAAATTATTTTATTAATTTATATATATTTTTTTATTCGTTTTTGAAAGTTTTATTTAAGTTAGATTTTAAAAATTAGTTTGTTTAGCTGTTTTTTAAATAAACAAAGCAAAGTTTATTTATGTAAATGAATTGTGGTTTTTATTCTGCAACATTCTTATTTCAATATTTTTGTCCAGTGCTAAAATTATATAATTTACAATGTGTTTTCCATTTAACAACATATTCAATACAATTTCATATTGGATTTCATAGATCATAAAATAATTGGTTGTTTTATAGACATTTTAATTTATATTTAAGTATATATTAAATAAAACATTTCAACATTTCATAGGTAGCATTTCTTGTGATAAGTCTTTATACTTTTTATTTGTTAAATTAACATGTATATATCTATATACTATATATATAATTAATTAGATTTTATTTTTCTTTATTTAAATTCTTGTTACTTTTATCATTTTTCTGGTCTGGTGAAAGTGATATTCGCACAAATATTACGTTTTTTTTATAAAATTGTATAGGGCGGGCTTTATTAATCGTGATTATGGTGAAAGTTTAAAGCTATTAGCAGATTTATTTATTTCTCATACTTAACTAATTTTCTATTCAATTAGCATGTTCATAGATACTATATATTTTAAAAGTTAATTTTTTTTTGTTGTGTTGCCATTTTTATAAAGAATTTTTGTTTAATTTTACATCTGTAATATGTTTAGTTACAATGAGTTTATTTTTGTTGTTATTTATTGTGAATTTCCTGTATTTTATATATTTGATCAAAATATAGTTGATATATCTAGATTTAAAATCAATTGTAATTTTTTTTTTAAATAGTTAAAATCTGTATGACATAAATTCACAACTGATCTAATTTATTTATATCTTGGTTTCTTTTTCACTTTAACAATCATTCTTTTCTATTTAAAATGTTTTTTATTTTATTTTTTTTTGTTTATAAAGCCAAATACTAATTGTTATAGTATGAAATTATCTTTTTAGAAGACTGTTCATAAAACTATTTAACGACACATAAAGAATAGACCATATTGTTTCAAAACATAAGGTATTCTAACTTTGACCTACGGCATTCAAAAAAACTGAAGTGGTGAAATTGATGCTCTAGTAGCAACTGCGGGCAAATACTTTTATAAACTTAACCCTTATTGTATTAATAAAATAAAATAATTGTACATAAAAATTTTTTACAAAATCGATGTTATAATAATTTTTCTAAATTTCTGTCAAGTTCTAAAATCCATCGATTGCATCATGTGGAGAATTTATGTATCAAATTGCCGCAATAAAATTTTTATCTATATTTTGTATAACTCTTGTATAAACATTTATATATTGTATATATAAAATAATATCGTATTTGGTAAAACTTATGTAAAAAATATTTTTACACAATCTTTTTCAAAAAAAAAAAATGTATTTATGTTACGAAAATATTCCTAAATAAAACTAAAATTCTAATTTAACAAATTAATAGATTTTTAGGATTTTTATTTATTTATATCAGGATTAATATTCTATGTATAGTTAGTGTCTTTGGTTTTAATTAAATATAAACTTAAATACAAAAATCACAGTGAACAAAATATATTGTTTAATAATTTGACAAAGTTTAAAAAATATATTAAAGGAATTTAATAGTGAGTATATAGTCGCTAAGCGCAAATAATGTTTAAAAAAAATAATATCTATAGGATCGAATTGTAGTTTGCTTATTTTGATCAGTAGAGTAACATTAATGCTTTATGAGACGGTTTAATAATTTGTATTAATAGTATTATTATTTCAAAATCTATTTGAATGATATAATATGTAATGTTATGAGTTTTACAAATGTATCTAATTTGAAAAAAAAAAATATATATATCTATACGATCCACAAATGAAAGTATTTAAAAAATATTGATTTTTTTTTTTGTAAATAAAATCAAATGTCAAATATGAGCCTTACATTTCATATTTAATACTCATAATATTGCACATATAAAACTTAAATTATATTAGTAATCATTTAAATATTAATATGTAAAAACATTTTATTCAATAATTAAACAACGTGGCAAATGTTCCTTCAAGTACTCGAAGAGTTCATGCGATGCTCCTGGACAATTAGTTAGTTCTAATTCTTGTAAGTGTCGTAGTTGTATTAGACTTGAAAGTCCAGATGATGTTAGCAGAGGGCAACCGGCTAATGAAAGCACCTGAAGATTACGCATTGAGCATAAATGTTGCAGTCCAAAGTCACGTACTTGTGAGCACCAGCGCAAAAAGAGGGCGGTAAGCGAAAGCATAGTTGAGATGTACCCGACACCTATGTCGGTTATGTGTACGCATCTAAAAAATATATTTGGAAAACATTTAAAATTCAGTTAAATTACTAAAAACCATAAAAACATTCTATATCTACATTTCTTTAAACATATTGTTATAAAATAATATCGTATGCATAGAAAGGTTAGAAAAGTTAAAAAGAACTATTAAGTTAAGTTTGCTTTCTTAAAAGCTTCAGTAATTTTTTTTTAAATTTTAGGCCTGTATGCAGAGTATGAATAGGTCTGGTATATTCTAGTAATTATTATATTACTATATAAATGTATATTAATTTATGAATTTATTAATTTATTTGCTATCTATAGCATTTCTTAAAGTTGGCAACTGGCTTAAGTTTATTTAACGTACTGGTTTCTAAGCTCAATACAATATTTCCTTAATTCTAGCCTTGTATATTATGCAAAGTACAAATATTTCTGGTTCTATCTGCAACTAAATGGCGTAAACTATTGAAAGCATGTAATAAATATGAAGAAAAACGTTTCATTCATAAGAAGGCTATAGTGGGACTCCTTGCCCATCTTATCCATGTTATTAATAATATAATACAGAAGTTGAAAAATTTTTTTTCTTTGTCCTTAAGCAAAGGTTTTTATTTTATTGCAAATATTAAGAAATCACACATTATGATGGATATTGAAATAATATAATATATGTAATTATAATATATTTATGTTCCCATTAGTTTAATTAATTTGAATTCATTTTGACGATTGAATCGAAAAAGGTTTTTGAATGTACGAAAAACAATCAAATTAAAATAAAATATAGACGGATTCGAATAGCAAAGAAAGGACAAAGACAAAAATTTTTTATTTTTAATTTATTGAAATTTGGCTGACCATACAATGCTGTTTCGAGTATTGCCAAGTACTCATCATCAGTGATCTTAGGAAATATTCGAATTTCTTAATTAGTTACAGTTCGTATATAATTTGTTTGAACTGCAAGTGTCAGGCTTAGAACTCGTGCCTGTCAAATTAGAAGCGAATTAAAATAAAATTAAAAAAAAAATTTTTTTAAATTGTTTGAACTAAATAAAGAAAATTTAAAATTAAAAAAAAAATTTTTTTAAATTGTTTGAACTAAATAAAGAAGATTTAAATATTAATATAAGTGTGCTGATTTTGGCCCACTTATATATACTTATATATAATATAATAATAAATAAATTTCTATAAATATCAAATAAGATTGAATAATAAAAGTTTAAATGATTTTTTTTCCTTGATCTAAACCTCATAATAAGACATTAATGAGAAGCAAGTAATATCCGTAAAATATAAGTGGTTTTTTCGAAGCTAAATAATTTTCTACTTCAGTTTGCAATAATTTAATTATGAAAGAGAATTTTGTTCTAATTGAATTGACCTTGTATCCTCCTTCGCTTTTGTCTACTGTTCAACAAATCTTTCAACTCACCTGTCAAGAGTTAGTTCTTCCAATTGATTCAAATCACAGGCGATATATTCTAATGAAGCATCTGTTATACGCGGGCACCAGGACAAATCCAAAGCACGTAACTTTTGTAAGTTTTCCGCAATCAGCTCAACACCATCATCAGTTAGTTTACTGCAACCGGAAAGGCTAAGCACCGTAAGATGCGGCAACGAGTGCACTGCAACGACACAAAAAAATATATTTAAATTGTGAGTAAATGTGCAATTTTATAAAAATATAAAATTCAAGCATAAAATAAATTAAAATAAAATAAAATGTGGAATGCAAGATACACAAAAGTCCCTCATGCATACGAAACAAGTAACAGAAGTTGCAATTTTAATATTATTTTTTGTACTTTATTGCTGCAGGATATACGGCAGAAACGTAAACGGGACACACATGACTGCGTTCTTAAATTTCTTGAGTGCTCGATCCACACACTTTAATATACTAACCATTGCAGATGAAAAGGACATAAAAGCGCTGCGCAAAAACAGCTGCAGCGTTAAATGTGGGACACAAAATGGCTGCAGTTAGACGCTTGCATCAGCCTTTGTCGAATGTGCCGTATGCACTTTACACCTTCGAGTAAAGCCACTGTTTGCACCCACTCAAATGCTTTAGAATATGGGACACAGTGTGGTCCTGTTTTGTAGTGAGTCGCGTGCTTGTTGCATTCACTCTAACCAACTCTTTTCATATTTAATGTTACTTGTTTTTATAAAATCCAAATTTAAAGTCAACAATTTAATCAAATATAAGTTGTAGGCATACCAGATTCAAGAGAAAATTGTAGAATTAAAAAAGAGTATTAGGTGCAGACATATTTTAAATATTTCAAGTTTATATGTTTTTTATTTTGGGTTCACAAGTTTTCTTTTGTTTGTCTCCTTCAAGCATTCAACTGAGGAATAAAGTTCTGTATTATAATTTTAACAATAAAATGTTTAACATATTCCCTCTTAATTATTCTAACAAAAAATGTGGAGTTGAAGGATAAACACAGCGGAATTTGCTGCCGATTGTACGCAATTACATACATATGGAAAATAAAAGATTTCCGGTAGGTTGGTTTAACTTAAGATATTTAAATATTCAACTCTTTGGAGCTTAAGAAACAAAAGGACCGTAATGTACAATATAATAATAGCATAGTTATATATACAAAAACCCAACAGTTTAAGTCCAAACAGCGGATACTGCTTTATATACCATATATTCATATAGTACAGTGGCGTGGTCGGGATTGTATCGAGTTGGAGAATGTGCTAGAAAATATTGCATTATAATAAGAGTCAAAAGATAATGTCAAGGTTATGTATAAGATTTTTATTCTGTAAAAACTCATAAAAAATCTATAAGATTATTGGAAGAAAATTACTAACGTTATTATATTCCCTACTTTATACATTAAATAAAACTTTTAATGTTATCCAAATAGTTAGTAGCTTCGAGCATTTTTTTCTTCGGTGTTCGATTATGAATGTAATTGAACATACATTCAAAAATAATCGAAAATATACGAAAACCAGTTAAACTATCGTCAGATATTTAAAGTATTCTATCCAAATGTTAGAAGTCTACTAAACAATATGATACTCTTAAACAAAACATAATATTAAAAGGTTATTTTATGTCTAAAGTCATGATGAGGAAACTAAATATACTGAGGATGCCTTTAGACAAAAGTCGAAATATGGATGAAATAAAAACTATTGCAAAATAAATGGTGGCTTTTTTTTTTAATTTTTATTTTTAACAACAAAAAAATTTGGTCAATTAATCTGCAAAAACACTTTAAAAGTTATCGAATAATTCAGATATTATCTGTAAAAGAAATTCTTGTATCCAGATATACACTCTAAACAAAATCTACTACATGACATTCTATAGCACTCCAGTTCAACTGATGATTGTTGGAATCATTTTATTTTTGTTAAATAAAGAAAAAAGCAGTAATAAAATAAATCTGACGCCTAGTTAAACAGCGTTTATGCTTAATTTAAAAATAACTTTTATATGTCATCAGTTATATGTAATTACGTGATTAGAAGTCCTTAAGTTCAGTCCATTTACATTTACGACGGTTTTTAACTATTACACATCTCTAAAGAGATGTGCAGACGAGTTAACAAGAGCAGTCAATTTAGCAAGAGCAGACGAGTTAGCAAGAAAGGGTGCTTCAGGACTTCATTTGGTACACCTAAGTAATCTGGATTTCAAAGTAATCATTAACAGCATGTAAATTGTTACTGAGTTTTTTCTGTGCCGAAATATTTAAGAAAAGATGAGAAGACTTAACGATAGGCAGGCATCTATATGCTGCACTAAAAGGAAATTCAATTCTCTCATTAAGATGCCCCGTAGAGGAATGAATCTCTCTTTTAATCATACTTGTCGCAGCTGTGAAGAAGACGATCAAAGTGTCCCTCATTTACTTTGCCTATATCATGCATTACTACAAAAGGATAGGCGGTTTTAAATCCTGAGTGAATCCCCTAGAATTCGCCGGTACAACCTAAGCTTTCCTTAGCTATTTCATCTCCTTCAGAAGTTGAAAAGATGAGGAGGAAAAATAAATAATAGAATACTTCTTCTAACATATCTTTAATTCTCTTACAGAGGTTTTTGGTGATAAAATTAAAATCATTCAGCTTTATAAGAGCCTCTAAATAGTTGCATAAGTAATACAATTCAGTCGAACAGTACCATCACCATAAATCCGTAAGTTCTAAGTGTATTGTTCAACTAAACTGACTGCCACAATAACCCACTCGGACCTAATCTGCACATGCCAAGTGTGTGACCACTGCTGAAGGCAGATCTTTGCTCTTGGTATGTGCCGGTATCGTATATCATCATATTACTGTCATCAAATAATTATTTTGTTTGTTGATAATGTAATTAATAGATATACTACATGTGTCATTACCTTACATATTTGGTTGATACATTACTTTTTTAATGTAAATTATTTTGACTATAACATGAAAAGATAGTTGAGACATGGGTCATGTACTGCCACATACCTTTTACTAAGTACTTAATAGTTTTTATATTTATATAATATTATAAATTGAAAATGTTACTTGCCACTTAAAGTAATTTTTTTTTTAATTTTTTTTTATAATTATAAATCAATGCAAAGTTAGTTGAGTCACCATTTGCGTTGAATTTTTTTTTAATTCAAGGAAAATCAGAATTCATTAAATGACAAATAAAATCCACTCACAACTACAAAGTTTCTATCTCGACATGGCATCATTTCAAAATTATCTTTCTCCCTCGTTTCCGCTCAATAGAACCCTTTATGTGACTATTATCAATTGATTATATAGAAAATGCTTTTATTTTGAAATATTTAATTAGTAAATATTTTAGAGATATTGTATATAGTATTGTCAATATATACAAAGTTTCAAATTGTTTAATACATAAAAATGCTTAAGAAAATTATATTTTTTTAAAAATAATGATACGGGACTTATAACATTATATACATACAAAAATACAAAAAACAGAAACAATAATGTAACACTAATCTTTCCAGATATCTTTAACTGTGTTAACTATAATTCTAAGATTTTATTCTTTAATTTTGTTAAAATATTGTATATATAAAGGCTCACACCCCTCACTAGGACAGAAATTATATTATTTCCGAATTATATACTAGAATATGTTAGCCTACGATAACATATCAACAAAATGATTGTGTTATTCGTATTCCAATGTCGTGATTGTCTGGGTTAGCTGATTAAATTGTGGAAGCACTAACCCCACCTGGAGCAGACGCGACTGAAGAAGAGTACTGCGTTTAGCAACACCCCGTTATCAGGTTTTGGTTTATGGCTAAATAATTAAGTAATTTACTAACAAATTTGGAATGGTAATATTGGAACTACAGATGTATAGCTTTTCAAAAAAAAAAACTTTAAGCTGTTGTAGTTAGGTTATACCGGTGATCCCTAGTGGATCCACTTAGGCCTATTGGCCCATTGTGTTAAGCTGTTGTAGTTACTATTAAATAAGAAACTCAATATTTTTAGAACAGATTTTAATGTTTTTTTAAACTTATATTTTAAAAGTATAAATAAGTTATACTCGTAATTCATTTTTTAAACCGAATGAAGAGAAGAAAAGTGGAAAGAAAAACAAAACCATTCATCTGTAATGCTTATTCTCAATTTTTTTATACTATTAATAACAATTAAATTTTGTATAACACAAATTTGATCATCTATACATAGTTGAGATAGGCACATCTTTCGTTGGTCGAGTATCAAAATTTTATGGCAACTCGAAGAATTCGAACTAAATATGATTAGAAGTCATGATGGAAAAATGATGGAATATTATTGTAATACAAAAAAACTTTTAAAATCACTTAGTTAACCAAAATTGCTGATATAAAGTTGAACTACAAATATACAAACTTCTAATAATGAATAAAATTAAAGTTTTAATTTTACTTTTTTATTCATTTCTTTTCGTTTAGCTTTCCAGCTTACATTAAGTTCATACGGATCTTTTTTAAATCTAATTAGACCCTTTCACTATACTGTTTTCGAGGTCGTTGTTGAAACCGGTACTCCTAATAAATATATGTGATATAGAAATGTCTACCGTTTTTTCTGCTGAGTAATATTACCTGTATAATAAACTGATAAAGAATAATCTGATAAATATACTGCAATAAAATATCCAGAAAAATACAAGATCTTATTTAGATAGCAATATATTTTGAATAGTATACAATATTAGATAAATAAAATATATGTGTCTGCTACAACAGCATTTTATATTTCAGTTGATATTGCCAGAAGTGTGTTCTTTAAAAATATAAGTTATTACCCACCCTTTTCACAATTTCTTAACAAATTTTCGCATTTATAAAAAAACATATATCTATCTATATTTATCTATAAAATTCGTAGTAAATAGCCGTAAATCGTTTTTGGTAGTAATATGTACTCAAATTATACATATAATATCATACTTTTTCTAAATGATTAGTCCTACAAATTTTTTTATAAAAAAAAATTAATTGGTCTTTGTTAAATGAATTTTTTGATCTACAAGTGGAATGAGAAAAATCTAAACCAAGAACTAAAAAATACAATTAAGTGATTTGTTATGGTAAATCCATCGAAATTTCGACAATAATGAAATGAA